ACACTACATTGGGATGTGGGAGGCTGTTTCAACCCTCATGCTCTATCACAGAGCTCGGGGCATAGTCCTGTGACTCAGAAAACACTGCCCTACCTCCCAGGGCCAAGAAGCGTTCATGTTCTCAAGGCACTAGGATGACAGGCAGCATGCAAGCACCACAAAAGGGAGGACAGGGAGGTGGAGAGAAGGGTAAAACTTGCCCCCTCAAATCTTTATTATAGGGTAGCAGGTTTTACAGAAGAGAGGCCAGTTCTGGTCCCAGATCAAATCTACGAGATTGGAAGCTGCAAATGAGCCATTTTCCAAATCACGGTGAGAAATAACATTGACGCAGTACTTTGAGATATCATTAAATAAAATTAGCTGCCTGGAAACATATTTCCAGATGGGATATTAGTGAGGTAAGAAGAGAACTTAACCTAGAGTCCTAAAACAGCACAAAACAGGGCCTCATGCTTCAGGCCACACTTTAGCAAGGTCCAGACCAGAGGCACATCTTTCTCATCATGGACATAAAGATGAAAAGGTGAGCTTGAGGCTCTTTACCTTCTTTCAGCTACCTAGTCTGAGCTGGTTCTGGCCCAACCTTAACAGAGAAGAAACCCATACACAGGAGCTGGGCTGGCCTGAGCTGCCATTTAATGCCTAGCACTAACTCTTCATAAGAATACAGGCAGAAGAAGGGGTGTCCAAAGCCTGAAGCAGAAGATCAATAAGAAAAACAGATTTATTTTAGAGCCAACTTAGCCTCAAAGCAGTTAGTGTCAAAGTCTGGAAGAAGTTTCCTCTTCCGTCTTGTACAGGATGCTGCAAACCAGTGACAGATTATCCAATGAACTACTGCACATCTAACATGGTCACTTCGAAAGTGGGGATTATATAGATTTGAAAGGGTAATCAACATCTTAATTACAAGCCATGAGGAGAAGAAGGGGGAGAAGCAGTGGACAGGAAGTTTTTTTTTTTCTCCTCTCAAAATAAAGTTTAAAACTCATCTATACTGACAACTGAAAAGTAGGAAGGTCCTTATATGAATAGGTATGAAAATGGCAAGAAAAACCCTGCTGAGGCCTGAATGTACACTCATTAAAAAAAAAAAAAAAAAAGAAATGTCTAAAAATGTAGTGCCCTATTACAATTAATATTACTTCAGTGAAGTGCAATGGTGCTGTTTCTATCCTCCAGTTTACTAGCCAATTGCGTCTGGCTTTTGAGTGCAGTTAACAAAAGTGTGTGCGGACTGGCATCGTTCGTCTCATCAGCAATTCCACAGTAATGTCACAGAAAGAGAAGGGGAAGGAACAAAACAAGACAAGCTACAGCGCCCGGTCTCAGAAAGCTTTACCAACAGATCTCATTGCCGTATCTTTTCCTCCCTGTTTATAATCCTCATAGCAGAGCTCTGTCATCCTACTCAGCCCAAAGACTACCCCAGCTACAAGACGTGCCAGGCTGAAAAATCACCTCAGGATGCCTATTGAGATCAGTTGCATTATAGAAACAGGAAGCTTTCACTTGCCTGCTACCAATATTCTATAGATTTAGTGGGAAGTAGCATAAGCAGGGATGCTTTGCACAAGGAACACATACAATGGACTCCAGCCAGGAAGATACATCTTGAGTAATATGCATACTCTTTGTTTCCTCTTTTTTTAGATGGGTTTAACTAGACTCTGGGCTTCTCTGCAGCAATAGAACACTTTCTCACTACAGCAGAGTGTTGATTCGTAAACAGCAGATCTTTGTGTGTGAGGCTGTGCCAGCCTGTGCAGAACAGAACTGTTGTTATTGCACATTCACAGCTAGAGATAAACATGAGTAAGAGCCATGAGTAAGAGCCAGGCATCGGCTCTTCAATGCATTTGCTTTATTAAATTCACCCTGATTCGACAGCAGTGATCGTTTTTGAGAAAACCTCTGCCTCCTGAAGGGACAAGGTGGCACAAGCAGCAGAGAGAATCCAGGAAAAAGAAAAAAGAAAAAAAAAACCAGTGACATTAATGCAAAAAGCTTTCTTCTGTACTCATTACCATCCACAAACTCCATCTGCATTTAAACCACTCAATAGCAAAAGATGAAAATAAAACAAAACCAACCTTCCAAAAAGCACCAATGGAATATAAGTTTTCAATAGATTTCTTGAGACAAATCTGCATCAAGAGCCATTGCTGCTGCAGAACCTAAAGATTACAGTGAACCAGAGAAAGAAAAAAAACCTGCATATCAAAGATGACGCTCTGCAATAACACGAGAGCAATAAACCAGCCCCAGCAAAATGGATGTTGGAAGGTAGAGGAAGGTTTCTTTTCTTCCAAAGAGCAGAGCTCCAGATCAGCTGATTCAGAAGTCCTGAGGCAAAAGAACAGAACTAGTGCTAACACAGACCTGGACGAGTTCATGAACTGCACGAGATTACCTTCAATAGCAGGGAACTGGATTTGATGACCCAGGAAGTCTCTCCTAATCTCTGAGTTTGTAGTGGTCCAGGGGTGCCCAGGCATGGCACAAACCCATGGTCATATCCAAAAAGACATCAGGGATTGCATGCCGAGATCATGCTAAGCTGACAGATAAGCATATGAAGGAAGGGCTAGCTACTGAAGAAAGGAGGGGAAGAGAATCGCAGCAAGAAGTGGAGTCCCACAACCAGACACTGAAAATTCAGGGCAGGGACATGAAGAGTAAAGTCTCAGAGAGAGGAGGAGATGTCCCCTGACTATATTGCCCCCAGACACCCCAGTTGCAGCTTTAATTCTAATACAGGTTGGAGAGATGAGAAATACATAATTTGTCCAAGCCATATCCAGTTGCGCCCCTTGCTAGAGACAGCTCCTAGTCTTCACTTCATTGCCCTGTCTAGGGCCAAAAGGGCTTCTTTCACAAGTGCCACAGTACCTGGACACCTTTTTCTTCCATTTGGACCCTTCCTGCTTTAATCAGGCATCACGTCTCAATTTCCAACCCACTGACCTAGATTTAGATGACCATGTCTCTGCTATGCATTGGGCAACTGCAGAAGTAGGATAAGCTTGGTAGACAGCAGTGGCATGTGGCTTTTTCATTAGGAAAACAAAAAACAAAAAATAAGAAAATAAAAGTGTAAGAATCACTGTGAACTGAATAAGAGCTGCTACCTCCACAATCACAGGAAAAAAGAAGAGTGGAGTGTGCGTGGGAAAGGGAGACAGGAACCGAGTGGACCAAGGAGACAGTTGCCTTTCAGATACAGTTTAGTGTTGTAAACTCCCTATCTAAGGGAGGAGCATCACATTATTGCTTATCCCCCTCTCCAGCTCCAGATCTGCACCCTGTTTGGGCCATCCTGGAAAAACACATCAATCCTTCTGCAGATTGATGTCTTAGTCATGCTGTTATTTCAATTAGGAGATGATACTGCCTTCAAAATTCCATGACTGGAATAACATCTGATTTAACTGAAGTGATAGAGATACAGCAGTGCCCAACACCACTGTGATATTCCCCTTTCCTCATTGGGATAGCTACACCGGTTTACTGTCTGTGTCACAAGCAGCTCCTCTTCAGCTACACCAGTACAGTTGAAAATGTTGGATGTGTTTGATTACATAAGGTCTTAAGAAACATTTGGCCAAGACAGCAGTTCTTTGAACAAATGTAACAATCGTGAGGAAGATGCAGTACCCTAAACGAGAGGACCAAAACTTAATGAAGATGCTTTCAGTAAGAGACTGCCTTCACTACAGCAAACCCAGCCCCAACAGGGCATCCACCAACATATATCACACCACAGCAATGGAATTGGCCTCTTACCTAAGACCTGCCAGCTGGATCCTGGACTCACTTTAACCCAAGCAGACAGATGGAGGAGTTCGCATGTTACAGGAGTCGCTCTCAAACGCCTTGCAAGAAACAGCCGGCTGTGTTAGCATTATGCAGTGCTACAGACTGACAATATTCCCTCCAAGAGGCTCTGCCTGCGAAAGCACGTTGCATGGCAAGACCAGGCAATGGGAATGAGGGCTTATGAATGCTGCTGCAAACATGCAAGGACACTCCAAGATTGCATCAAAGCACTTCTCCAAGAGCAGGACCATTGCTTCATCCCTCCCGCAACTGAGAATTTAATCACGGCACAGATCTCAGCTGACATCACATTGTGGTAGTGAATCACTCAAAAAGACCAGAATGCTCATGGCCTGGCTTCATTGACCCCGAACCATAAGAAAGTTCTGCAGATCTTTGCTGAATCTGGACACCAAGGCTACATGGAGACTCCAGCCAGCCCTTAAGCATCACAGCAAAACAGATTGGGCAATGAATGCATCAGTGGATGGCAGTGTCCATCTGATTGATCCAAAGCCCTGGTTTGGGATAAGGCCACTTCAGACTTACTCATCTGAGCACAAGACCAACAGACACAGTCCTGGAGTAGACAGCACAAGTGTCTCCTTAAGGTACAAGCTCCGACTTGTTTCCCACAACCTTGTCCCATCTCTGTAGAGCAGGCTGCAGCTTTCCAGGCTGAAAAGCAGCTGCGCTAACCCTAACCTTAACCATGAGGTACAACATAGTCATCTCTCCATCCTCATCCTGGGTTGGGAACTGCCAGGTGACCATGGTGGTTGCAGATAAAGCAGCCTCAGTTTCTTAGATCAATTTATTCCCTGCCTTTGTGTTGCCTCAAACATAGCTTGGTACAGTCATGCAGCTCCTGTGGCTTAAGATAATGAAGTCCTGGATAACCCCACATTTTCTCTTCCACTCTTACAGTCTCTTCTTCATCATGAGAAAACCAGGGTACACCAGCATTTGGCCCATTAGAGCATGGGGCCTTTCACACAGACAGCAAGGAGTGGGCAATATTCTGAGAGAAGGAATCAAAACAAGGAAGAGAAAAGAATGGGATGCAGAGGAGAAGCGAGAGTAACCATGCTCCCAAGCTGAAGGAGAAAAGTTCCTTTTTTCCTTCCAGCCCCTCCCAGCCCAGGATGGAACCAACTACAGTCAAAAATGCCTCTCACCTAACACGGTTTCTGCTCTGCAGGTCCAGAAGTCAGCCTGGTGTCCCTGGAATCAAACAGCTGCTGTTGGCACCAGCTGAAAGGCCTCGTTTGAGGAGCATGCTAGATGGTCTCTGCACAGAACGGCTGGTAACACACTACTTCCTGATAACATGACTGCAGCCTGCTAGGAGGAGTGGCAGCTGCACCAAGCTGGGGAACAGAGAGGAAAGGCACATAAGAATAAATGGCTACTGAGAGTCTGGGCTGATGGGCATCTCACCAGCATGCACAACCATCCTCAAATTTTAGGTCACTTGATCAGCATCCACTTGAACTACAGCTCCCAGAAGGCTCTGTGCTTCCTGCAGCACCAGGCTGATGAAAGGCTGGAGTTTAAACCCCTCTGGAGACAGGATCCAGTCTGCCTTTGGGTCGACTCAGACTCTACACTCTCCATTTCAGCATGTTTGGCTGTGACCTTACAGTTCTGTTCCCACTGCTAGACTTACTCTCTCTAACCATATCTACAGCTTAGTGTTCTGGTGAAAGCCTTGATCGTATCAGGTAATGCAACACCTCACACGCTCAGCAAGATCTTAGCGATAAGGATTCCGGACATCTTTCAACAATTAGCAACAGTGCAGGATCTCCCAAGAAATCTGTATGTGAATGCAAGGATGTCTGAAGGGGCACACTGCCTGTACATTCAAACACAGAAACAGACGTTAATTACTCTGCATGGCCAGGAAATCATTCAATTGTATTTACTGGAAATTCAAGAGCACAGATTCTTCTGATTGTCAAATGTGCCCATCCCCAGAAGCTCTGACGTTTGAACATTCACCTTAGTGAACCTAGCAAACCTCCCTCCCCCAGCTCTTTACAAGATACATTCCCTTCCCCCTTCATATTCTCTGCTCTCAGAAAAACCTGTGTTCATGAAATTTACCCCTCTGTAATAGTGCTATCTCCCTTGGGATTGGTTTTTCATAAAACAGAGGCAATGAGAATCCTTGTCCATAACTGTCTGGTATGCTGGCACACTCCCACTTTCTTTTTTTTTTTTTTGGGGGGGGGCGGGAGAGGAGCTACAGAGGGAGGGGAAGAAGCAAATGAGGCTTCAGCAAGAACGACATGATGATTGAAGCTCTCTGGGAGCACAGCAGAAGCACATGAGAACAATAAACCTTATTCTGCCCCACCATCTTGCCCACTCTCCTTATAACTACGCCATTAGATGCAATGTGTTGCCACTAGGGTAGGTCATGGTGAATTCAGAATTTTTCTCTCCTAGCACTCTGCACCCCCGAGATTTCTAGGCAGTGGGAAAAAGATGACCTATGAAGAACACCTGGGCCTGTGGGTTTGCACTATTAAAGGCATCAAACCAGCAAATGAAGAATGTCATGGAGCAGGCAGAGACACCTCTCAGGGACCAATAAATAGTAAATAATGGTTTGAATAAAGTCAGAAAGGACCACCTCGATCCTTGTAGCTGAATGGTCTGTACAGAACAGGCTACCCAGGGAACTCCTGGCCAACAGCACCTCTTTTGGAAGGCATTCTAACATTTGAGCCATTCCAGCTTACGTACACCAGAAAGGCTTAAGATTTATCAAAGCTAGAGAGATAGCAAGATCAACACCAAAAGATGGAGTCACCAAAAACGCCTACATCAGACTACATGACACCATGTCATTTTTTCTTGCAGAACACATGCACAGTTGAGGAAGGGAAGCCACTTAACACCCAGCAGCTTAAAATGAAACCTCTTAGCTGTGCTGAAATTTCAAGGGTGGTCTGAATTCCATCTGTTGGCTCAAGTCTTACAGGTAGGTAGCTGATACAGACAAGCTGGAGAGCAAGATCTTTCCCATATCAACACTGAAGTGTCTCTGGAGAACAGAGCTGCCACACAAGGGAAGACACAGTCCAGCATGCAAGAACCCTCTGCTCAACACTTGTGCCATGTTCCTACTTCTACAGTCCTGCACAAACACTGATGAGTTAGCATGTTACCTGGTGAAGCAGCCTGAAATTTAGCTTCTTTGCAAACCTTTATGCTATGGGAGCAGAAAGATCTTCTCTCATCACAGAGAATATAGGTGAAAGCAAGCAGACAAGCTGGCTGTGATCTCCTCAGTTCTCAGTAAACTGAAATCACCTGCACTGGTGCTGAGATACAAGATGTCGAAGGGGAAATTTAAGTGCCATAGGAAGTGCCACATTAGAAATGCAGCTGGGTGATATCATAAGAGGGAGACGATAGCTTTTTGTATGGTATGGACCTCTATTTTACCCAAGCAAATGTTTATTGATATCCCTGCAGTTTTGGCAAGGATTGCTAATCCCAATATTGAGGAAAAGGCCAGCTTGGCCTCTCTGATACAGTGCATTCACCACCCTCTTCAAACACTGACACTCTTTAGGCCCATAGCATTTAGTGAGCCCTCTGGGTTGCTACAAGTGAGGCTGCATTTCAGCAATGGACAAACTACTTCTTTTTTATGAACACACATTAGAGTTTGCACTATTGACAAGGCACACAGGCACGCTCTTTTAGAGGAACACAGATACGTTGCAAGTACTGTTTTTAATGTTTTTCCTGTAGCTAGCGGTGTCCCCCAGGGGTCAGTCCTGGGTCCAGTCTTGTTCAATATATTCATCGATGACCTGGAGGAAGGGACAGAGTGCACCCTCAGCAAGTTTGCTGAGGATACTAAACTGCGGGGAGAGGCTAACACTCCAGAAGACTGTGCTGCCATTCAGAGGGACCTGGACAGGCTGGAGAGCTGGGCCGAGAGGAACCTCAAGAAGTTCAACAAAGGCAAGTGCAAGGTGCTGCACCTAGGGGGAAATAACCCCATGCAGCAGTACAGGCTGGGGGCTTGACCTGCTGGAAAGCAGCTCTGCAGAGAAGGACACCCGGGAGTGCTGGTGGACAACAAGTGAAGCATGAGGCAGCAGTGTGCCCTTGTGGCCAAGAAGGCCAATGGTCTCCTGGGGTGCACTAGGCAGAGTGTTGCCAGCAGGTGGAGGCTCCTCCTCCTGCCCCTCTCCTCAGCCCTGGGGAGGCCTCACCTGCGGTACTGCGTCCAGTTCTGGGCTCCCCAGTCCAAGAGAGACATGGCACTCCTGGAGAGAGTCCAGCGGAGGGCTACCAAGATGATTAGAGGGCTGGAGCACCTCTCCTAGGAAGAAAGACTGCAAGAGCTGGGCCTCTTCAGCCTGGAGAAGAGAAGATTGAGAGGCGATCTCATCAACGTGTACAAGTATCTGAAGGGGGAGTGTCAAGAGGATGAGGCCAGCCTCTTCTCCGTGGTGCCCAGCGACAGGGCAAGAGGCAGCGGGCGCAAACTGAACCACAGGAAGTTCCATCTGAACCTGAGGAGAAACTTCTTGACTGTGAGGGTGACGGAGCACGGGACCAGGTTGCCCAGAGAGGTAGTGGAGTCTCCTTTGCTGGAGATATTCAAAAGCCGCCTGGATGTGATCCTGGGAAATATGCTCTACAGGACCCTGCTTGAGCAGGGGGGTTGGACTAGATGATCTCCCTTCCTTAGATGAGGTCCCTTCCAAACTAGACCATTCTGTGATTCTGTGTAAAAGGCTAAAGACTAAGCTTCAGCTTTTAGAAATCAAACTTTATCACTTCAAGCTGGCAAGAATAGCCCCTCATTCTCTCAAGTTATACTCTTCTCAACTAGACAGGCTGCAGCGCAATAGGAAGTATCAGCAGTTATGTACTCAACTTCCAGGAACCCAAAAGGCCAATCCTAGCAGCCTATGGCTGCTTTCCATTCCTCACTGATCTATTTGCTGGAGTTAGACAGAAAAGAATGTTGCCCCTAAGCCATTCAACAAACTCCATGTCCTGCTAATTACATCCATATAAATATATCATCTTGGCTGTCAAATACTGGCCCTGTTGACAGGAAACTACACTTTGCAAGGCAAATGCAGAAAAATAATCCTTCCTGCTGCTGGTGACACACTTCTCTGGATCTTACTTCCTTTCCAGGGCTCTCCCTTCTCCCTTCTACCTAAACACTAGTGCAACAGCATTTTTTCCAGAGCAGAAGGAAATGGCACACAAAAAACATCCTGATCTTTTAAGCCACTGAACATGAGCAAGTTTTGGTACTGTCAGTATTTGAAGAGGGTGGTGACTGCACTGCATCAGAGAAGTCAAGCTGGAGTTTTGCCCTAATACTGGGATTAGGGATCCTTACCAAAATTGCAGGGATATCAATCAGCCAGCCTGAGAGCCACCAACACATGGTAAGGAGCTGTGGAAGCCAGAGTTAAATGTCTCTCATTTACAGACAACAGCCCTTCTGTCTCCCTTTGCTTCCTCAGTTTCTACTGCTAAATACAAGGCAAGCAACAACACTTAACAGTAATGAGAGTGTGACAGAAATACAGTAGTAGCCCGCTCCTCTCTGCCAGTCTCAGGTAACCATGACCTGGAAAGGGCTGCATATTCAAGAAGGATCTAACAGCAATCAGCAACAAAGAGCCAAACGCAGGTAGATCCAGGGGACTGCTGGTGAGCAGGCAGACAGCAAATTTCACTCTGAAGAGCAGGATTACGATGGAAAAGGAGGAGAAAGGCACAGACTCACCTGTCCTAGCCATATTACAAGCTTTCCCAAAGCTACAGAATGTATGATCTTTCTTGGAGCCTCAAGTTGCTGCAACTTGGCCATTCACAACAGCTTATTCCCAATGCAGCAGTCTCTGCAACAAGCCCTCCCTGCAGGACCCTGGGCTCTGACACAAGCTTTCCAAAACAGCCGCATCTGTCCCTGCTCCCAGGTCTGATCACATACAGCCACAGCACTTTGTTCCAGGCTCCCTGCTTTGTAAAGCCAACTCGTTACAGGATGACAGATCCTCATTTAGAGAAAGTCACAGCCTTCATTTCTACCCAGGCCCCTCTGTTTACAGAGAAGGTCAACACAAAATGGAAGACAAACAAGAGAAAAGAACATGGCTTCAGATGGAGCAGGAAGATGGGAGGAAAAAGCATTACTCCCATGTATATCTCATCTAACAGCAAACAACCACCTAGCTGAAGTAAATTAACACAGCCACGACTGTATGAACTAGTTTGCAGACTAGACTGGTCTCTCTATAGACCTCATGGGCAACTAGTGCAAACCCAGCAAATTGCCACAAAACTACTGGGACAGATGAAAGTTGCATTCTTTCCACAAGATAAAAACTAGACACTCTCAACTGGCTGAGACAACACTGGGGCCCAAGACATTTCCTTTACAAAGCCAGTGGTAATCTGAGCAAAGATAAACCATGCCCTCTGTTTTCCATCCAGGGACTAGCTGAGTAATCAGCAATTTCCCTGTGCATGAAGGCACTGAGGCCCCTCCACAGGGTCACCTAGTCCTTGGCTAACACAAACCAGCTCCAAGTTGGAGCAGGATGCCAAACTTTTTTTCATGCAACTTCAGCAGCTTTCTTCTTCTGTTTTTCAATATTTGTTCTGATTCAAAAGATGTTATGCCCAACCCACACTTTGAGTTGCCTTCCACAGCTTACTTTCACATTAAGTAATGAGACTCCAGCAGACTGCCCTTCTTTCCTGCCAGAACAATACAGCTTAGCAAACACAGTAAGTCATATCAAACCTTCAAAGGTCTCTTTAGCCCTCAAACCCCACCAGGGGAAGGAAGCAATATTGGGTCTTTCCTTTTGCCTTGAACTTTTAAAGTCTTTGACATTAACAGAAGCTAATGCAACTTTAAACTAGTTAATATGACCATGATTTTACACGTACATGCTGATTTGAACCGTGCCCTTCTGACACACTATAGGGTAATACTTATACCAAAGACAAAGGGTAGCAGTACCAGCCACCTTACCCAATATGTTAACGCAACTCATTCATCAAAGCTCACTCTCACTCTGATTCACTCATGCTCACAGCCACAAGCCAGTCTGTTTAGCTATAGGTCTCAAAAAATGGCCATAAAAAAGCCACCCAGAAAACTTTTGGTGCCACAGGATGCCA